AACCCACTGGCTGGAGCAAAGCAGGTGGCACCTGCAACATGAACCTACCACAAGCAGAGGCATCCGCACATTGGACAGCAAGCACGCCAGGCCCCCAGACCAAAGATCCACCTAGCCAGCACCCCCATTTCCACCGCAGCCTGCCCCCCGCCATGGGAAGCCCAGAAGCAGTACATGAGTGCAGCAGCCCCTCTTCCTGCTTGCGATTCCTAGCACACTGCCCCTGACAGAGGAAGAAATACTTGGCCATGTTTGCTAACAGCCATTAGAAGATAGGGACCCAAAACTCTGCCTTCTCCGGAGTCAGACCACTGGCCCACCTGGCTCATTGGCAGCCAGCTGCATATCACCCACCTCTCCCCTCTGAACTATATTTAAGCCAGGCTCCCTGCAGTGCAGCAAGACCAGTAACAGAAACATTATTGTTGGTTCACTCTTGTTTTGAATTGTATTTATGTACTTAAACCTACATAACTATTTTCTTTCAGTAATGCTGAATTTACTATGTGTTTGCTAAATTGTTGGTTTTTGCTAATTTTGAATTTACTGATGTGTTCTGTATTTTGTATATCTGTATTTCCAACACACTATGTTTGGATGCCTTGAACATTTGCTGTAAGCTGCATTGGGTGCAACTCATTATGGAAAAGTGGCATCCAGGTATACCCAATCAATCAGCATTATCTAACAGACTAGTGTCCAATGACACTCTAGGATTTCAGACAGGGGCCCCTCTCTCTCTCCAGCCCTAACTGGAGATGCCAGAGATTGAACATGGACCTTTCTAGATGCAAAGCAGATGTTCTGCCATGGAGCCACAACCCATCTCCAGGGACAGTCTTACTCTCCATGCATTTGCACTGAGTCAGATCTAGCCCAGGGCAGCCTCCACACTAACTGACAGCAGCTCTCTAAAGTCTCAGGCAGAGAACGGTTTTCAGATCACCCAACCCTTTTTAACAGGAGAGGGCAGAGACTGAACAATGAGTTTTCTCCTTGCAAAGCAGCTGCTCTAGGCCTGAGCCCTGGGCCTTCCCAAGCAGGCATCAGGGAATCAAATCCTGTTCCTCCTCCTCAAGTAACCTGCAGGGACAGAAACCGTGTCATGGAACTGACAGCTTCCAAGAGCCATGGCTCCTGCACAAATACCAAACTCTCTCAGATGAACACAGAGGCCTGTCTGTAGCAGGAAGGCTGTAAAAACCCCGTAAGGTCATCTCAGTGATGCCTTGCAACAGCCTGCAATCTGGAGACCTTGTCTTGCGTGTAAATACATTTAAGGTTTTCCAATAAATTGGGATTAGGGGGGAGAGCAGAAACACCTTCACTTGCTTCAGCAGATTTCTTGAGACAGAAATGTGATTCCAGGAGGTCCCAGGATCAAATTTCTCCTGTGCAATAAAATTCACAACAAAACGTTGAGAGTCTCAAACTTCGGTCACCCCACTCAGAAATCAGTGTTGCTGTACCTTGCAGGACTGTTGTAAGGATTGCTGGTGTGAAGCACTTGGAAAATAACAGAGCTATGAGCACCCAACAGGAATTTCTACTGGATGTTTGTGCAAAGTAAAACACTGAAAGGAGTGTGATGGAACAAGATAGCTTCACTCACACACAAAACTGAGAAGAATAGTGCCTGTACATTCTGCCGCATACCTCAGAGTCTACAAACGGTAGAAAATTACTGTTTCTAAAATGAAGCTTGCGCACCCCTTCTCCATTTTTTCAAGTGCGCTTCTGATGCTGCCCTCATGCAAACATATCCGGAAAAAGCCTTAGGTGCTGCTGGTCCTAACATCAGGCAAGGCAAGTTGACTTTATCAGGTTGCTGGTTTTAGGTGCTGTGAAAGAACATCAAATTATTAGCTATCTAATGCCTTACTGTATTATAATTACTTCCAAGGAGAGGCACTTGTGGAATTTCCCTTCCTCCTGTGCCAGAAGAACTTGGCTCTGCTTCGGCTGTGACACTTGGGAAAGGGGCATCACCAAGCCGGTGCAACAAAGTCCTAGAGCCCGGAGGGGGAGTAGGATGGAGCGTACCACTTCAGGATGCAGGTGGGGGGGTGCTACTTTTGAGCATAAGCCTCAATTGTTTTATTTTCACAAAAACCTCCCTAAAGATATAAGGTAAGCATATCATGGGGGGGGGGGTGTTGTAAAAATAAAAACCCCTAAAACCTGCAAAGGGTCATGGCACTTTAAGAAAAGGAACAGTCCCCTCAACTTGCACTCCAAAGTGACACAGCCCATCCTGCCAGCTCAGGGCTCTACCACCTTGTTCTGGCTGCATGCTAGAAACCAGGCTGCACCTAGAGGTGCCCCCTCCTCGCCCCCCCCCCCCCAGCCTCCTGGCAGCTGCCTTCCTCCCAGGCCAACAGCCGGGTTGTTCTCCACCTTCAAGGAGGGAAGCCAAGCCAAGCGGCGGGGCCGCCACCCAGCCGCGTCCACCCATCTCCCAAGGCGCGCCTCGCTCCCTAAAGCAAACGCCCAGTTCTGCAGAGATCCGGCTGCTCCCTTCGCATCTCCCCAGGCCGGTGGTGCTTTAAAGGTCACATCCGCCAGAAGACCCACATCTCCTCCTGCAGCCACCATCCCCGCGCCACGCCAGGATCACCTTGCCGGGGCCTTCGCCCAGCTCCACAGCCCAGAACTGAACTTTCAAAGGTATTTGAAGCAGGGAGGGAGGGAGGCGGCTCCTCGCCCCCCCTTGCAGGGAACATGCAATCCGTTTATTAAAATCACTACCACCATCACCTCCACCACGAGAACCCAGCCGGCTAAGCCGCGCCAAGCAGCAAATATGGCTCCCCAGCGCAAGGAATTTCCCCCTGATCCAGCGTGTCTCCAAAAAGGCTCCCCCGATAACGCACAAGCAGATAAGGCTGACTTATTTGGAGGCTGCTGGATTTGCAGCCCCTTTCCTTCCTTCCTTCCTTCCTTTCCACACCAGGATTCTTGGGGAAGGAGGACGGGAGGAGGAGAAGGTTCAAGTCTGGGCAAACCGCACTGAGCTCAAGCCATCTGCAAAGCGGGTCTGACCTGACGCGGATCAGCAGCCGGGCTGGGAAGATGGGCGGGTGCGGCGGTGGGTGCCGTGCAGCGCCAGCAAGAGACCGAGCTCTCGGGGAGCTGAAATGGACACGATCCCATTCTGCTTCACCTCCGGCTGCCTTTCTAGAGCTCCCCACCCGCTAACACCCAGTTGCCCAGCCTGCTTGTGGACGCTGCGAAGGGGGCCGGGCGGGGGCGGAAAGCAACAAGCGGCGGGGAGGGGTCGGCAGGCTTGCTCAGTGAGGATTGGGCCCACCTCCGATCGCCTCGCTGCCTTGCATGGGGCCCCCGATCGCCAGAAAAGCAGGTCAGGAAGGGGGGGGGGGGGAGAGAGAGAGAGAGCAAGATGCAAGGGAGCAAGGGCGGGGCGGGGGAATCCTTTTGCAGAGTCAGCTGCATTCCCGTGCTAAAGGACAGGTGGCCGGGAAAGGAAGCGAGGGGGAGGCGTGCGCGGGCGAGGCAGTGACGGCCCGATCCAGCCCATCCAAGGAGGCGCTGCCCTCTCCGCAAGCTCGCCTGCTTCCTCCGCGCGCGCCGAGGGCGCAAATATATTCCCGAAAGCATTTAAATGCAAAGGTGCACATAAACCATGCGCATAAATATACACCTGCATATATACTGAAAGGAGGGGAATCCGCCTGAAAAGCACGCCTGGAAGCGGCTCCTACCGGGAGAGGCGAGCCTTAGCCGGGCATGGCGCGGGGCATCGGAGCGCCGCTCTCCTCCTCCTCTCGCCGCGGCTGCAGCAACCTCCTGCCTGCTCGGAGGCGCCGCGTCTCTGCCAGCCTTTTGCAAGGCGCTTCTGCTTCCCAGGCTGAGAGCCCCCAGCCCAGGGAGAGCAGGAAGCGCGTCATCACCCCGGGACCGACCGGCCAGCTGGCCTTCCTCCCCTCCTCCTCCTCCCCCTCCCCCCGAGCTGGCTGGACCGACCAGCCACCCAGCAAGCTTGTGCTGCGCGTTCCTGGCGGAGCTCCCCAGCAGGTCGGCACGCCGAGGCCAGCCGCACCCCAGAATTAGCTCATCCCTCTCCCAAAGCAAAAGCCAAGGTATCTCCCAGGCTGCAGCCCGAAGCAGGCTCCAATCCTCTTGAGCTCGGCAGGACTTACTCCCGAGTAAATGCGTTTGCGCCAGAGAACTGTGCGTGGTTCTCCACCAGGCAAGCTGCCACCTTCTCCCCAAAACTAATTCTCCTCCTCCTCTGCTTTCAGACAGGGTTCCCCACGTGTAGAATATCGTGAAGCAAGGGAGGCTTCTTTCCATCCTTGCAGGGAAGAAAGCTGCAGCTACTTGCTTGTTCTGCGCCTCAGTTTCCTGTTAAAAGCACGGGAGCAAGGCTGGTGGCCAGGAAGGCAAGCAACCTTATTCACCTCTCACTGTGTTGGCTTGGATGCTTTCTTGATCAGTTTCCAAATGGAGTAATTTTGCTATGTGCTGACCTGAACTATGCTGTAATTGATGATTTGGTGCACTTTGAAAAAAATATATTTTTAAAGCAAAACTTGTCAGGGTTGCCCACTGGAAAAATAGCAACAATATATTATCCATATATGAGACCAAACCAAAATCTCACCAAATAACGTTCCAGCTTTTGAGTTCTCCAGAGACCCTGAAACCAGAACAGCAGCCCCCTGAAAGCCTCATCTGAATGTCTGCTTCCTCCAGATTCCACCTGATGACTCAGCAGATGCAGGAACAGATGACTTGACCACTAGCTAGTGCTGTTTCTCCAGACACACTGCATGTCCCATGGGCTTGTCTAACTGAATGAAGAATTCTGGATAATCTCACACATTATTATATGACATTTTGGAGGGCCTTATAAATCCTCACCTGAGGATTATGTCGCTGCGCAGTAGGACCCAGGTGTACCAGTATGCAGGTTTTTTACTACAGGTATTGAAGAAAAAAACATTATTTTGTTGAGGCTGCAATCTTCTTTTGGGAAGGGTTGTAGCTCAGTGGTTGAGCTCCTGTTTCCCATGCAAAAGGTCACGGGTTCAATCCCCCTGTATATCCAGACATGGCAGGGAAAAACTCCTGTCTGAAACCTTGGAGAGCTTCTGTCAGTCATTGTAGACAAGACTCTGCTAGAAAGACCAAGACTTTGACTTAGTACAGGGGAGCTTCCAACGATCTTATTTAAATCAGCTCTTTATTCAGAGGGCAATGAGGACTGGAATCTTGGTTCATCTTTAGGGGAAGGACCATGATGGAGCGCAGCTTCATGTGCAGAAGGCCCCAAGTTCAATCCTGGCCTCTCCAGGAAGGGCTGGGAGAGACTCCCTGCCTGAAACCCTGGAGAGCTGCTGCCAGTCCGTGCAGGCAATACTGAGCTGTAGTGTTCTGACTTGGTATAATAAGGCAGCTTCTTCCTTTCTTCACTTGCTGAGGTAGTCCGGGAGCCATGGAGGCTAAGGTTCTCCCCTCTCCCCTCCCTTGCTCCCTGCCTCCAGTCAGGGATTGGGGGCACCATTGCTCCCCCCTCACAAGGGAGCATCATGAACCTAGTTAGTCAGAGCAAGGAGGCCAGTCCTGGCCATCCGCTCCTCAATAATTTCAATCAGGATGAGGTAGGCAGAAGAAAGGACAGTTTATATTTCATAGAATCATAGAGTTGGAAGGGACCCTGAAGATCATCAATGAGAGGAAAGAGGCTCAGTCGCAATGGCTTCTTTACGCTGCCATCCTGCTCCCTGTCCCCAAAATCCTCCTTGTTGTGGCCTTCCTGCCCGTGTGCTGCGGCAAAACAACAACAACAAACCTATGGTTACGTGAAACATACTCAATAAACACACAAGACGTAACCTGCTGTACTTTTGAATAAATAAGGTATACTATTCATTGTATCAAATTGTAGATTTCAACGGAAGTCTCATGAAGTTCAACGAAGAAAGCAGAAGACACAGTGGATCAGTTCATTCTTTAGTCAGTTCATGCATAAGGTCCATACATGTAAAAGTATCTATTCCACCTGTCTGTTCTTAGAGCCCAATAATCCACATGCAGGGTTGTTACAGTTCCACCGAATCCTTTCACAGAGTCTAAGGAATATTAGCCTTGTTTCACCATCCTAGGCTTCATCAGTAGAACAGGCTCATATGTGAGAAGCGGACACGGAGCAATGGATCCAAACTACAAGAAAGAAGATTCCACCTAAACATTAGGAAGAACTTCCTGACAGTAAGAGCTGTTCGACAGTGGAATTTGCTGCCAAGGAGTGTGGTGGAGTCTCCTTCTTTGGAGGTCTTTAAGCAGAGGCTTGACAACCATATGTCAGGAGTGCTCTGATGGTGTTTCCTGCTTGGCAGGGGGTTGGACTCGATGGCCCTTGTGGTCTCTTCCAACTCTATGATTCTATGATTCTGTGATATTACAGGATAGTGGATTTTATAGCATAGTAGTAGTTGCAGTCACCAGGATGGTGGCGGCCAGCACACTTGGGGGAGGCTGGATATGCCGCCTGCCTAGATCCTGCTGCCTGAGGCAGCTGCCACATGGGCCGGGCCGGCTGGCCCTGGGCACCTGGATTTAAGATTCATTTAACCAGAGTTTTCCTTAAAGGGGAGGGAGTTAGAAGTGAAATGACAGCACCACCTGCTGATAGTTAAAGTGATAGGTGCATTGATTCAGATAGGGCATGATTACCCACTATCCTCCTAAACAGTAATGGAATTTGCAGCACAATCTCAGCAGAATGATGATGATACCCAGCTCTACCTCTCTTTCAAATCAGAACCAGTGAAGGTCCTGTGTGCGTGTCTGGAGGTGGTTGGAGGATGGATGGCGGCTAACAGATTGAGGTTGAATCCTGACAAGACAGAAGTACTGTTTTTGGGGAACTGGAGGCGGGCAGGTGTGGAGGACTCCCTGGTCCTGAATGGGGTAACTGTGCCCCTGGGAGTCATTCTGGACTCACAGCTGTCCATGGAGGCGCAGGTCAATTCTGTGTCCAGGGCAGCTGTTTACCAGCTCCATCTGGTACGCAGGCTGAGACCCTACCTGCCCACGGACTGTCTCGCCAGAGTGATGCATGCTCCAGTTAACTCTCGCTTGGATTACTGCAATGCACTCTACATGGGGCCACCTTTGAAGGTGACCCGGAAACTACAACTAATCCAGAATGCAGCAGCTAGACTGGTGACTGGGAGTGGCCACCAAGACCACATAATACCGGTCTTGAAACACCTACATTGGCTCCCAGTACTTTTCCAAGCACAATTCTAAGTGTTGGTGCTGACCTTTAAAGCCCTAAATGGCCTCGGTCCAGTATACCTGAAGGAGTGTCTCCACCCCCATCATTCTGCCCAGACACTGAGGTCCAGAGCCGAGGGCCTTCTGGCTGTTCCCTCGCTGCAAGAAGCCAAGTTACAGGGAACCAGGCAGAGGGCCTTCTCGGTGGTGGCACCCGCCCTGTGGAACGCCCTCCCACCAGATGTCAAAGAGAATAACAACTACCAGACTTTTAGAAGACACCTGAAGGCAGCCCTGTTTAGGGAAGCTTTTAATGTTTGGTGTATTACAGTATTTTAATATATTTTTTGGAAGCTGCCCAGAGTGGCTGGGGAAACCCAGCCACATGGGTGGGTTATAAATAATAAATTATTATTAATAAAATATATTTGCAAGTTGGTAACATGTGAGACTTCATCTCAGGGTTGTGGGTTCAAGCACCACATTTGGCAAAAGATTCCTGCATTTCAGGGGGTTGGACTAGATGACCTTTATATGGTCCCTTCCAACTCTACAACTATGATTCAGAACGTAATGAATACCTGCTTCCTGATGGTATTGGTAGCTTGTATCCTAGAAAGATGTGATGCTAGATTTGTGTGGGTTCTCTGCATTGGATCACAGCTACTTTAACAGATTGGATGGGAGGCTCAAGGAATCTGAACCAAGGAATCTGAAAGGCTATTATAAGGCTATCTCCTTCCACTGATGGAGGAAGTTTGCCTCTGAATGCCAGTTGCTTAGGACTGCAAGTGGGGAGAGCACTGCTGGTGCCCTCACTTCCTGCTGGCAGGCTTCCTATAATGGGCAGATAGAATGAAAACTTAGCATATTAAATGAAGCTCTGCAGAAGCAATTCAGAGTTGGAGGAGGAGGAGGAGCCTTAGCAACTGCTTGACAACCAAATAGCTGAACAGATACATTGTATGTGTGCATATTTGAACCCCCCCTTTTTTCTTTTCTTTTTGCTTTCAGAGACTAAGACCAAAGAGGCAGGGTGGGGTGAGCAGGTGTGAAGATCAAGCTGGAACTGCGATATAGGCAGCTGAACGTTGCTGCTTCAGTACGCAAAAATGTTCGGCCCACGTAATGGATGTTCCCATGCATGTAAAGAGGACATTTTGGTTTTTTTGTTTTTTAAAGATATTTATTGAAATTTTCAAAATGTTACAAAAAGGAGAAAAATAAAATAGAAACAGAAAAAAGTACAAAATAAAAATAGTTGACAAAGTAGAAAAGGAAAAAAAAAACCCCTTCCCACCATATGAGTAAAAATTTCAAAATAAGAAAAAGTGACAGAAAAAAAAATACAAAAATACATCACAAACCTTTAAAAACATTTAAAAACAAATTCATTATTTTCAGATCCTTAACTGTCATTGCCTTCTTTCTTAGATCTCCTCCTCCTCCCTTTCTTTGTATCCTAGTTATTAATTATCCCAGCAAATCCTTTCCATATTTCATAATATTCTGTCATTGCATTACCCTAATCTGTTTTGATCTTATCTTTCTATAATAAAATAAACCTTAAAGCTTAAAACTTAAATCTTATCCTTACCAACTTCTCATAACCATAATATTCTTTCATAATTCTTTAAACATCTTTGCTAAAGCCAAGTAATTTCATTCCAACATTTTTCTAACATTCATCAATTTTATAAAACAGTTCTAATGGTAGAGAAAAGAGATACAAACAAATCCAATCTTCATCCAACGTCCCTTCTTCCTGGTTCCGGGTTTTGTCAGTCCTTATTCCCGTCGATCTGGCCCATTAACCTGGCAACCTTATATCCGAGGCCCTCAAGTCTCTTCCATGTCCCTTCCGCGGCTCTTCTTCATATTTGTAACTGTATTTTCCCTTGTCTCCTGCTCGTAGTAACTCCAGCTTGACAATGTTTTTGACCCTTCTCGATGGATCAGCCCCTTTTCCATGTTCAACACTGAATTCCATGTAATATTTAAAAGCATGTTTCAAAGACCCTCCAAAATTAAGAGCCCCCACAGTCCCAAACATCTCACGGCCCATTGCCTTATTTGAAAAGTCCAAACATCCCAGCATAGGGGGGTCAATCCAGCCCCCCATTTCCAAACCAAGCCAAACTTTTCCTTTCCAAATCTGGCTTTTTCCAAGTTCATTTGTCAAATCCGAAAAAATCATATTCCTGTTGGGCCTGTTCTGTCAAGACACACTCCTGATTTAATTCCTGAGTGGGCTCCACATATTTTCCCACTGTCTGTTCAAAGTTTCCCACTGCCTGTTCAAAATTTCTAGTCGAAGTCGCCATCCAATTCACCTTCTCGTGTAATTGTTCCAGTAGGGCATTTGTTTTATAGAGAGCACACAACAAAGCTTCTGAATACATTGTCCTGCAAGGTCAGATGCCTGTTCCCCCGGTTGTAATATGTAACAGCTGCCGGCTCCCTGGAGTTAGTTACAGTTTCACAGACTCCCCCTAGGGGGAAGACTTCTATTTGTTCTTGCAACAAAGTTTCCTTTTTTAAAATACTTTGTCCATATATATTCCTTTAAAATGCGAAAGGGAACAGTGGAGTCACTATGTTTCTCTTCTTTTAGCTATCTGTCAAAAACACTTGTCTTTGGTCAATGAACTTCAAACGTCAGTCCTGACACCCCGCTCCAGGATCAGGACGGAGGAAAGTTACTTTACTTTAAAGTCACTTTAAACAATCCAAAAACATCCCCCCCCTTCTCCTGCTGTCAAAGGGGGGTTCCACAATTTTAAATGGTGAAATCCATCTTTTAAAAACGATTTTCTGAGCTCTAGA